CCAATAGAGTGAGAACTGATTCTGAAGAGTATATTTACCCAAATATTGATAAAGTGAACCTGACCATTGAGGGTGTGCCTAATGCAGTTTTCTCCCAAGGACTTCCCAAAAATAGGTTCTTCGAAGAGGCAAAAAGATTCTTCTGCCCTATGTGTGAGAAATCCATGGCAGACGAATTTATGTCCATCAGCAAGTTCTTCACCAATGGTTTTGCTCTAGTAATCGACCTAAGGTCAACACAAGATGAGACCACTGGTGGAGGTAAGAAGATTGTTAACACACAGTCGGGAGTACTCCTAGAAATCAAAAAGAGAGCCACAACAGCTGACGTTCAATGCAACATTTTTATTGTATCAGATGCTCTCCTTAACTTTGCTAATAGAGATCTATCAAGTATTCAATACTAATGGTAAAGCATAGAGATGCAACCATTCAACATGCTGATAGTAGGAATGACTGGAAGTGGAAAGACTCAGTTCCTACTTAATATGTTAGAAACGGAGTACAATAGAGTATTCGATTACATTGTCATTATATGTCCAACCATAGAGTGGAATATGACTTACATTAATTGGACTCATATTAGTGACCATGGAGTTATACAAATTCCATGCTCACAAGAAATGATCGATCTTGTTCTCAAGGCAGTGTCCACCATATTCCGCGGTACTCAGACTCTCATTAAAGTGGACGATTGTGCGGCAAGTCAAGATGTAAAGAAAAGAGTCTCAGAACTGGTGCGCCTAGCATTCTCGGCAAGACATTACAACCTATCTGTTATTGTACTTACCCAACAATTGTCCTCAGTAGCAAAACCATTCAGAGAGAACATTTCCAGGTTAGTTACATTCTACAACCCTAGTCGCAGACATATGAAGGTTATAACAGATGACTACCTAAGTGGTGTTCCCCAGGAGACAATTACAGAGATTACGAAGATATTAAAAGATGAGAAGTTCACCGCACTGGACGTACTACTTATTCACCCTTACACATACACTGTTAAACTAAACACCGCGTAAAATATAGATGATGGGAACTGAATCTGATGAAGAAATATTTGAGGCTGTAAGAGAAGTAAAGGAGGCCGCAAAGGTGCCGCAGAAAAAAGCAAGAAAAACTAAGTCTACCGCAGATAAGTCGCAAACTGAACACAAAAGGGACAAACTTATAGAACTGTCGAGGGATGGTATAATAGAGAAGTCCGCAAGTTTTATAAGAAAGTCTAACAAGGATGTTGTAGATAGACTATACCATGAGTACGAAAGTCAGAGGATGTCATGTGCAAGCGACTTCTTATCAACGCTTATTATTTCAAAGTTTGCTTCTGTATTAGGAAGTTTCGGTGCAGTGGAATCTTCAGAGAAACTGTCAGAGGAACTACTTAGTGACAAGCTTCTGAAGGACGACGTAGCGTATCTAACCAGAACGATATCCCCCAACATCCCATTCATAGGGCTTATATCCGGTGGCTGTACAACAGCTAAACATGTAGTTGCCCATAAGTGGAATAAGAAGGAGGAAATATCCGAGGAAGCTAAACATATCTTATTAAATACAGAAGAATGTCGCAACTCGGAGAGCCCTACGACTGGGGAAACGCCTGGGACGGAACAGAGTTTGAAGACATAATTAACGAGTTAATTGAGAAGACCGACGGGAACAAGGAGCAGGTAGATGAAATTCAGGCAGCACTTGATTCAACAGAAAGCTTACTCAAGAAGAACAAGGCAACACTGGACTCTATAGAGAAGGACCTGTACTCCCTCAAGGACAAAGTTATGGGGCCGCTCCAGCATGACTACCAGACGTTCAAAGATGATATGGTTAAAACAGTTGTAAAGATATACAAGAAACTATATGAAATGTAATATTTTTAAACCAGGAAGCAAACATTAACGAGGAGTAGTTGGGTGGGTAGAGGGAATACTACTCCATAAATCAAAATAAAATAGCCATAAAATTTTTTGCATATATAGTATAGGGAAAGATGGAAAAACTATTCAGAAACCAGGAGTTGAATGTTAGTGTAAGAACCGTGAGGTGGGGCGGTGAGGTACTCTTCTATGCAAAAGACGTGGCAGAGTCCTTAGGGTACGCTGATACGAAGAGGGCAGTCCAGAAACTTGTTAGGAAGCAAAATAAGGTAAGCGTATACGAGCTACGCAAGGGAGACAAATCGCCTCCCTTCAAAAAATGTCACCCACAAATGATCCTGCTATATGAACCTGGTTTGTATCAACTAATATGTACCTCAAGGCTTCCAATAGCGGAGGACTTTCAGGATTGGGTATTTAAGGAAGTCCTTCCATCTATCCGTAAAACGGGCTCATATGAATTACCAGATAGAAGGTCACTCAGATATAACCAGATAATTCTTATAAATGAAACGGACCTTCACCATACAGTTGTGAGTTACATAAGAGATAATCACCCCAACGCTGTAATAGTACCTGGTCTTGGTGAGTATCAGGATACGGTGTCAAAAAAATGTGATGCTTGGAAGAAGGGATATAAAGGTGGCCAGCCTGATCTTATTATAGAGAACCCTATGGGGAAGTACAGAGGATTCGCAATTGAATTTAACTCTCCTAAGGGCACCGGAATTACAAGTGAGAAGCAAGAGATATGGCTTGGAAGACTGAGGGGAATAGGATACGCAACAATGATATCGGATGATCTAGTGAAAACTTGTATTAGAATTAACGAGTACTTTTCACTCGATAAAAGGGTAAGGAAAGTTGCAGCGAAAAATACGGTTTGCGATGTAAAGCTGCACAAGCCAAGGTTCAAATCACACAAGTACTAGTTTAGTGTCAAGTAGATTTGAGACATCTTACAAGTAAATTTAAGTTATCTCACCAGTTATCTCACCAGTAGATTTAAGTTATCTTGCAAGTAGAATTGAGACATCTTACAAGTAAATTTAAGTTATCTCACAAGTAGAATTCAAGATGTCTCGTAAGATAAAACCCAGTTAAACCTAAGGTATCTTACAAGTAGAATGGAAGATAAACCTGAGCAAATTCAAGTACCAGTAACAAGCGAAAAGAAGAAGGACCCAAAAAGAGTAGCTGCAGGAAAACGATTAGCTGCAATCAGTAAAATAGCAAAGGAGAGGAAAAAGAAACAGGTGGAATCCAACGAGTCACCTAGTAATGACAGTATGATTACCTACATAGGAGTGGCTATTGCACTGATATCTCTTGTGCTAGCATATAAGACACATCAGAGGGAAACTAAGGAACTAGAACCTAAGTTCATCCCTGAAACTGTAGAAGTAACTAGGAAAGCTGATGAGTCCAAGTTAGATTCACTTGAATGATACATTAAACATACCATATATTATAGCAAGATGAGTAAAGAATCAAAGATGACTATGGAAGTGTACAACGCAGTGTTACTTACAGCAGGAGCAGTTGGTATATCAATGGCATCAAAGAAACTATTGAAAGAACCGTTAGGTACCCCAGAGAATGTAAAAGGAATGGCGAAGTTAGCTGTTTCAGTTAGTCTTTCATCTCTACTGGTCTCTTACTTGAAAGAAAAGAAGTATCTACCAGATAATCCATTCAAAACCTAGGTAAGACTATACAATGGCTGGAGCAGTAGCAGGAGGACTCTTTAACGCATTTGCATTTGCGGGAGCAGGATACTTATTTAAGATGTTTGACAAGAATGGATACGCTGAGGAAGCTAAGAGACATAACCTTGCAATGGAGAACCTAACAGCTGAAAGAGAGAAGTACCTTGAGGAAGTCACTGATAGAAGAAATAGAATTGCCCAACTAAAGTCAGAACTAGCTGAGGCAAATAAGGAAATTAATTCAACAAACCAGTCACTAGAACTCGTTAGAAGAATCAATGAGTTAACACATAAGGCTATGCCAAGAAAGCCGCAGTTAAGTAATCACTACAAACCTAGCTCTGAGATGGAAGAATATATGGCAATCTTTGGTTTAATTACAGGTGGGGTGGTTGGAGGGGCAGCTTATTTAATGCTATAGAAAATGCCACAAAAATTTTCACATATATAGTATAGGGAAATGGAATGGTTACAGATGGCAACACCTGAGGAGATAGCACGTGTAGGTAAAAGGGTAAATACATTGGAAGAGTTAGAGACTGCTGTGAGGAAGCACGCCGAGAGTAGAATAAAGATAAAACATACATATGATCCAGTATGTAGCGAATGTGGAAGTAAGTCTATTGTAATGATAGATGGAGCAGATACATGCACACAGTGTGGTACAAGTGATATGAATAACTTCACATACTACGTTAGTCACAACTACAACAAGGATGACTACCTGAAAAAGAAGTCTTGTCATAATAGAGTCCGTTGGTTTGAGAGACACTTGTTCGAACATGTTGCTTCTAGGGATAGGGACACCATAAGGGAGCAGTTTAGAAGCATTGTAAGATGTATACAAAGACTTAGACTGCAAAGGGGGCGCAATATAGTTAGATACAAGTTTTACCTGCTGAGGATAGCCAGCATGAATGGTATCACCTTAAGAAACCCTCCTGAGGATATTAAGACTCAAAGGATAGTGGACATCCTTGAGGACAGATTGTATGGGAAAGTTTTTGTTGAGCTTGGATGGAAACCTGAGAAGTGTAAATATTATGATAACTGGAAAAGTAAAAACACTTAAAGAAATACTAATATAATAAATTAAATAAAATACTTAAAGAAATATTAATACAATAAACTAAATAAAATACTTAAAGAAATATTAATATAATAAATTAATTAAAATACTTAAAGAAATATCAATATAATAAATTAAATAAAAGACTTAAAGAAATATTAATATAATAAATTAAATAAAAGACTTAAAGAAATATTAATATAATAAATTAAATAAAAGACTTAAAGAAATATTAATATAATAAATTAATCTAAAGAATAAATTAAAAATAAATTCGAAATAAATTATTAATTAAATACCCCAATTTATTTTTACATATATAGTATAGAGGAACAGTTGAAAAATATGGCGAGTTATTCTGACATGAACGAATTCAGCATAGAACAGCTTATGGCTCTCAATAGTATCATATACAGTGATAACGAGATTGATGAAAGAGTAGAGAACATCATGGAGGACAAAACCTACAGGATTGCACCTAGTGATAAGGGCAAAGATCCCCTTGAAGGAGAAAGACAATTTGTAGATGAAGTTGACCGTGATATGGAGGTAAAGAAACCAAGACGTCTTCCTTTGAACTATAAGGGTAGAAGAGGAATTATGGCAACATGGAAGTACTCTGAAAGACAAAAGGCTAAGGCCTTACTTGTAGAGGAGGCCTACCAGAATCTACTGTTATAGTGCGTTATTTATGCGTCAAATATATTTTCCAATTAGGTATATTTTCAACCTTTAGGCTTCGGGTTCAAATTATATTAACGCTACCGTAACACAAATAGCATGAAACCTTATACCTTTTATATATTTTATTTACTTTCATCAATATGAATTAGCGTCTCTATAATGTTATAATAATATAGTAATCTTAATATATCAACTTATCTCTCTTTGTTTGAGCTGAGCACAACTTTGAATCTTTATTCTTTATACTTTGTATTCCGTCTTCTTTAATAATAATTATTCCACAATATTCCAATGTTCTTCAGTTTACTTGACGAGGCTTAATTATCTAGCCTTTTAATTATATACTTCAGCCTTTGTTGGCTTATGAAGTATTTTAGCCTAAATGGCTCTTCTCACTTCACTCTCCCCTCTCGACTCTCAGGTTGTGCTCCGCTTTTATAATAAATTTTAGGGGAAGAAATCTGTAACTATGACTAATTTCCTCTACGCAATATGTTTGTCAAAGCAAGTTCTAGCAGTGTTTATCAACCGCAAAACTATGTCCTGTTTGCGTGGTTTGTGGTACTAGGCGTTTCCCGTGGTTCTTTAATCTCTCTAAATATTTGCTTATTCATGCGAGGAAGGTTGCCTAAGGTCTTCCTCTTATAATTATAACAGTATACTGAATATATAGTATTGAATATAGTATTGAATATATTAAATAACATGGTATAACACTGCCATGTTACACTATTATTAGCACTCAATCCTGATGCCCATGCACACCTTACAATGTCGTAATCAATATCCAACGTACTCTGCATTGGCTAGGTTCGTTTTTTTTCTGATTTGTCGATGCTTCACTTGGATGTTGTAACTGTTCAGCAACCTGAGTGGCCAACACTGGAATCCTGCAAAAGGACACATCAGCCTGTTTTACACTAGAGCTGAAGTAGTAAACTTGCAACGGGACTTGGACTCAGTGGCGAGGTATTGCAACGGGTCCGACGTAGCCTGCATGGCAGGCGGTACGTAGGAAATACCGCCTGCCGCAAAACTGGGTGTAAATGAACTACCGCCCCTGAAGCATCAACGCTATTTATAGATGCATTAATTATGTAAATATTCAAAATTAGCCACTCCCAAGCTGCTCCCAAGCACAAGTCCCAACTGCCCAACATAAAATAAATTCCTTGATTCTCATCACCGCCCGACTGAATTTTAAAATCCTCGTGAAAACGTTTTATATTTCGTTATACAATATAAATGTACCGCCCGACAAAATAATTCAAGACAGTTAATTTTTTCATATTTTATATAGAGTTTTTATTGCCATTTTAAACTTCCAATTTGAAACAAACAGAATTTTGAGTGAAATTTCATTGTATTTTAAAGAAACTCAGTCATTCTGTCATTTTTCGTGGAGATACGAACTATTGATATATAAATTATATAAATATAAAATATAAAAAATAAATCTCCCGCTGTCTTCGACATTTCAAAGTGTAGACTGTGTCTAGTGATGAGAATCAAGGAATTTATATTATGTGTTAATATAAACCAAGCCCGTTTAACTGCCTTAAAACGGTGGTTTAATGAGCTCAAAATACAAAGCATGCAAGTCTATACTATAGATTCATCATCAGCCAACAACCAAACTGAAAGTATTGAACCTTATAGAACGATAGTTTTTATTTGTTTACAACTATACATATTCAACGGGTATATAAGAGTTTAACTGTTATTTGATAATTACTGCATCAACCGGCCCCTTGTTTATACTTTGGAGGTTCGTATATAATATCTATCAAGTATCTTTGGTTCAGAACATGATAGGCCTAGGCTATATGGAAATCCCACTGTTCGATTCAGTGAAGAAATATCTCCTAATTTCTATCGATAGTTTTAGTAAAATGTCAACATTATTGCGATTTATGGCCTTTGAAAGTCAAGCGAGACCGTATATTATCAAATTAATACGGATGTAATTGTCTGAACGAAAATATAGACTAGCCCATACCTTGCGCCGATCATATAACTTCGGCCCCTTCGGACGTATCTTCTTTGCTAAATATTCTTGTTCGAATCTCTATCAATAACACTATTTAGAGTGTTATTTTTCAGCTTGTATCTTTTAATTTGCTTCTTTTATTGTGTTATTCCATTTCTGGTCTGACTTGACGTGAACTAATTTCAAAACGCAGAGTTTCAAAACGTCAAAACATTTGGTTAATGATTAACATTTAACCGAATTTAGCCGTTGATTGACAACTACATAAAATACTAACCAATCCGTTTTTCCCGTTCACCAGCGGACGGGTAATTCAAAAACCCCTAGTTTTGCGGCAGACGGTATTTCCTTTGCTTCCCTAATTTTCGCTGCCCGTAGAAATACCGCCTGCCATGCAGGCTAGGTCCGACGTGGACTCAGTGGCGAGGTGGGCTAACCCTCCCCCCCCCCCGCGAAGGATTTTAGGGGGCGCAAAAAATTGCATCAAATTAAACCAAAATTGTCAATTCTAAATGAGTAAAGGAAAAGAACGGCGCGTTTTTCGAAAACTGTTTGCGAATCCCCGAAACAATATTATGGGAAATTTATATCGATGGGAGGCAAATTTTGCATCCCCCGACGAACAAGAGCTGCCAGCCAGGGATGCCGGAAGATCGATAATAGCGGGTGCAGATATTCATATATTCGCGTTCTGCCCAATTAATTTCTTTTGAAATCGATTGTTTTTACAGTCTGTGAACACGAATATATGAATATCTGCACCCGCTATTATCGATCTTCCGGCATCCCTGCTGCCAGCACGCCACTGCTAGAACTTATCGACTTAAAAATGACAAAGTAATTACATGCAGTACAAAGTAAAAGGGCGACATACGTGTGATTCTCTAGATTGGGTGAGAATTTATCATTGATATCTCTCTGTAGATGTATAGCTAGATGTGGAACACGAAGTATTGGTTTCTTGATATGGACCAATTTATGTGTTAAATTGCCATTTTCCTAGAATCACAGAAAAGAAAAGTTGTTAATCACCATGCTTGTAGAAAACTAGCCTGTGGCAGGCAGTTTTTAGGGAAGCGAAGAAAATACCTTTGCCTCCCTAATCTCGCTGCCTGTAGAAATACCGCCTGCCACGCAGGCTAGTAGTATATATTTCATCTTCGCAAATATATATTTTTCAGTTTAGACCACGGAGCAACAAGTCGCTAAGCGGTCCGTGAGCATGCAACTCTGGAGTTTTCAAAATGATATTTAATGCACTTCATTTTGGTGGAGGAGTTCCAGAAAAAAATCTTCATGGTCCAGCACAGTTCAAAGAAAACAGAAGCACCTTTTCACAGCTCGTTACCTACAATTTTCAAAACTACATTATCTCTTCCACAAAAGTTACCTTTATCATAATTCTTCCAGCTACAGTCAAATCTCGATCAAACCAAGTGTTCCAAATACCCCCACCATAACATTCAACTCCCACTTGCATATAGCCATGTTTGTCAACCTTTGAGTTGGGCTTTACCTAAATAGTGTTTAAGTTTGAACTACTGCCTCTTTTAGACGACTCTTTCTACAGGTTCAGTAAAGGCCACAACCCTAATTGGTCTTAATTGGTCTAGTTTTTACCTCCAAAATACCCGGAGAAAACAAATGCTGTTTGGCATAGCCAAACTGGAAATTCCCCTTGTACGCAAGAAAACAATGCAATACAGACATCCCACATGCCCTAAACACTGTGTTATCAACGCTGAACGCCCTACCTAATTAGTCAGGTATATGCAGCAAATCCATAATTGTTTTCTGAAAGTTACAATTCAACAGCGCAAAACCTCAACTACTAAAGGCTGCTCTCCAGTTAAGCGTTTTTCATACGTGCGTGTACGCAGGTAAAAGTTTAAATCTTTTTAAATTTTACTTATGAAATAACTAATTGAATAAAAAGATAAAATTTAGTTTTCTGTGTAATTTAATATGCATTTGTTGAGGTAATTAGTACTTGTATAAAATTTAGAAAGATTTAAACTTTTACGTACATACACGCACGTATGAAAAACGCTTAACTGGAGAGCAGCCTTAAACGTGAAAGCACCATGAACCTGTATACAGAATCAGTTGGGGGCATGGCAGATGTTTGTGCAAAATGCCACAATCAAATTGAAGCATAATGAAAGGGTCACGCGAGCCTCCTCCACAGGCCTCTCTATGGGTTTTAGCCTGCGAATGGGTTTTGAAAAAAATTTCTGACCGCCCGATTCCTCAGGTGGGATGCCTGCGGAGGAGGCTAGGGTCACGCTCATGCTTTTCGCACCTACTGTTAGAGTTCGAGGTTTTGCGGTTGCGATTTTTGACCTTCAGGGGCTGGTAGTTCAAAGCTCGGTTAACGCTAACTCTCGGTTAAAATTTAAAACATTGTTTTGGTTTATGTATTTCTGCACGTCTTTTATTTCAAAACTTTAGATAATTAAACTTCTGGGGCCGGTTGTATAAAAAAGTGATTAACGTTAACTATAGTTAGTGGAAACGTCGTCCAATAAGAAGCGCGTATTTGAGAGTTAATCACTATTTAACTACAAAATAGTGATTAAAAAAGTGATTAAGAGTTTTATACAACCGGCTCCAGATGACAAGATTTATGAAAAAATATTTCCAAGCTTACATTATAAACAAACTGCTGGGAAGTTTGGTTTGAATTTCACGTTAACCCAGGTTATGGTCATAGGCGTACGAGACAGGGGGGCAGGCAACTGTCCCCCCAAAATTTTGGAAAACCATGGAAATTCGGGCAAATGTTAGGAAAAATTAAGAAAATTGGGTAGATTTATCAGAAAATAGGTTAAATTCAGTTTATTCCATTACAATCCTCCATAAAAATTCGGGCAAACTTTCAACTCCCCGGAAAGCATCAGCCCCGTAAGCCTATGGTTATAGTTTTTGAAGAACAACCGGCCCCAGAGGTCAATCAAATTAATTTATAGCAGTATAATGAAAAAAACATGTTAACCTTGAGGCATGGACTATCAGTATGAGCACCCACAATACTAAACCCATTGCCAGGAGTGTATTTACCACCAACAGCAAATGCGATGATACTTGACTGGTTCTTTGTTACAAAATACTACAAAAATGAGAGAGTCAATATCTCGTTGAAATCTAGGGGTGCACCAGAACCAACTTTTGAAGTTCCGGCTGGAACCATAGAGATTATAAATAACACTAGATGAGGCATTGTAATCTTAATTCAGTAAAAAAAAAGGGAACGCGACTATTGGGGGGCAAATCCAAGTCCCGGATGTGTATTCGTGTTCCCATTGGTGACGAGTTTCAAATCAGCCAATGAGAGCACAATTTTATATCCGGGACTTGAATTTGCCCCCCATTAGCTGCGTTCCCAATTTTTAACATCGATGCCTCCTCTAGTGTTATTTATAATCTCTTTGGCTGGAACCGGATCCGGCCGGAACTGGAAACAAGTTCCGCTCGGAACTGATTTATTAAGCCATATGTAGTCATTAAGGAAATCATCAAGGAGAAAGCTCGCAAATGTTAGAATAAAAAGTTAAACATCATAATTAATGAAGTATTAATAGTGTACATTTTCCTTGTGTAGTCCAAATTTCTTCCTACTGTTACTACTGAACTTTTGTCAGACACAAAAACGTTTGATATTCTCTCTGAAAACGATTCCGGCCATGCTCTTTTTTTATTAGTTCCGGCCAGAACCGGAACTCTGAAAAATCGGGGTTCCGACCGGAACTAACGGGCCGGAACAAAGTTCCGGTCAGGGTCTTAGCTAGGATTTTAGAACTTGGGCGTGTTTCTAAATGACCAGGCTGTGCACATGTCAATTACCTCAAATAGCCAAATTCGCGGTTCTAGTTATGGTCGCCAACAACAGACCATACCTGTGGTTGTTCTATGCTTTGCAACCAAATACAAGGCGAGCATACGCTCATATTACGCACTGACATTAAAATATTAAGTTTTTTCAGCAACTCTTGGGGGTATTTAAAACCATTGTAACACCATACAGTTCCCATTATCCACCAAAACATTAAAACATCACATGCAGATCACTTTCGCCAATTTCAACAATAACCGTACATTTTACAAACTTTCTTACAACGTACAGTGAATAGGAAGAAATTCTGTCTGTTATTTTATGAACCTACACAGCCTTATATAAATAATGAAACCGCATTCATTTTATCTAGCCGTGTTTTTCCATTTTTGGCCGCGATAACACGGCCAACACGGCCCTCTGGCTAAGACCCTGGTTCCGGTGCACCCCTAATGATCGCGCAGGTTGCAGAGCTGCCAGAAACATGGAAACTCTCAACCTCGCAAGCCAGGGTCTTTTACTTCCGCACGGCGCTAAAACACCCTGGCTTGCGAGGCTGGGAAACTCTACGTTTTGCAAGAAATATTATTTTCAATTGTCTCATAAATTGGAACAACCAATAATTGGCTTGATTATTTTTCGTTATTATACGAAATCAAAAATAAAATGTATTAAGTGCACATAAATTATATTGCGGTCCTACTAAAGAATGCCCGGGAACATTCGTTGTCCGTTGAATGCCCGGGAATGTCCGAGAGTTAATAATTACGTTAGTTACTATTAAAATCACTTATTTTATGAAAGATTAAATGATTCTTGTAATATATGGCGTTGCAAAATACTGTTCACGGAATGTCGGCTGTCACAAATAAAATTAGTAAGTAACACAAGTAAAATTACGCACGTAATTACGTTAGTTAATGATAAAAATGTCTTTTAATAATGGAAGTTTGAATGTTTCTTGTATAATATATGGCATTACAACCCTCGAAATTCAACTATTTTTGCCTCGGCAAATAATTGCCGAAGCCTTTTGATAATTTTCGAGTTTGCCTCGGCAATTTTTTTTGCCGAGGCACGCAATGAAATCACCTTAAATTCCTTCGGCAATTACTTCGGCACCCATCGGCATTCACGTCGGCATTCACGTCGGCAGTTGTAATTAAAGTAAAGTACATACGGAAATTATTGTAAACAAATATTATAACGAGCGTAGATTCTGAGACTTCTGACGTTCGACAATTTGTTGTTATTTTACAAATTCCTGATTCAAAATGTTTTTAAAAAGTTAGTGGTAATTTACAACCAATTGTATGAAAGAATAAACTTGACGATAAAGTCACGCAACAGTCTAAAAGATAAAACAAAGACTCAAAGTTTCTCGACGTACCGTCTGTAAACCATCAAGATTGTTCTTTATTTCAACCGAAGCCGACGCTGAAAAGCTCAAATTTAAATATTTTGTAAAGTACAGTAGGGCATATTGTAAACACTGGACTGGACTTTGGACTATGGACTTTGGACTTTGGACTTTCGATTTTGAAATTATATTTTTAAGATTTTCGTATAATTATATTTGTGCATGATATAATATTCAAGGTAAAAAATATTATCAGTTATATAGGTATACCAGTGCAATTTCATAGATATAGCCTGTGGGATAACAGGATCATCTCAGTAATATTTTTAATTTAATATTTAAATTTTATTATAATATTTGTATTTATAGTATGTATAGTACAGTTTATACTGCAGAACTTCTTCTTTATCGTATGGATTTATCTAATAATAGATTTATCTAATAATAGATTTATAGAAACAATTGTGACAAAAGTAGCTGGGCAAATACAAAATATTGAGAAACTAGCACGTATAAGTATAAACTACACGCGATTATTATTGCGCCTTTGGCTTTGAACAATTATTCGCCAAGGCGAGGCCGTGATTATCGGGGAATTTCTGGTCTGCCTCGCAGCCGCCAGTTGTGTACGTTCTTTCTGATGTCTGCAAAGGAGGCTAGGGAATTTGTCAAATTTGTCCAATCAACTTGACAACTTGTAGGATTTGTTATATATATATTCACTTGCGCAAAAATACTAATAGTACTAATGACGGTATTGTTCATCTTTGCATAATAGTTTACACCGGTTTAGCGCCTACCTAAATAGGCTGTGTTTACAATGTATTTTGTCTGTGTCAGTTTTAGCTTTTCATAAATGTTTCAGCCATACTGAACACGAAAACTCTCATAGTCATCATACTTTATAAAATACGAATGTATGATACATGCATTATTAATTGGTAGTACTGATTACTTTATGATAATCTACTAGGCTATATAGTGTTACTTTATGTATATATTTTATGTCTATATTATTGTCTATATATATGGCTCTTTTGCGTACGTTATGCGGCTGAGCATTAATCTTTATAGGCCTACTACGATTACGATTCCCGCCTGGTTCATCACTTGCAAGTGGTAGTATTACAGTAAACGTGGCAAATAGTTGCTAGACTACCTGAAGCACATAGACATAGATTTTTGCCTTCTCACACACAACTGAGTAGGTCTTAAAAAGTGTGTAAATTTCCGTTCGAATATTCCTGTCCATCTACTAACACTTAATTATTAATAATAACTGAAGCACTTAGTCTTAGTGATAAGGATAGCTAACTAGAATGTCTTTCAAAAATAAGTAACATTAACAAAACGTTACTGTGTAACGGAGTAAACAATTACACAATTCAGTACTAGTATAAACTATTATGCAACGATGAACAGTCACTATACTCAATGCTCAATAGGCGCAATAATAATCACTTGTATAGTTAATATTTTGTATTTGCCGAGACACTTTTGTCACATTTGTTTCTGCCGGACAATTAATCTATTATCTATATAATAAAGAAGAAGTTCTGCAGTATAAACTGTACTATGCATACTATAAATACAAATATTATATAAAAATTAAATATTAAATCCCAAAATATTGGATAATCCTGCTATCCTACAGGCTATATCCGTATGAAATTGCACTGCTGGTATACCTATATAACTGATACTAGAGATTTTTTACCTTGTATATTATATCATGCATGTGCATGCAGTGTAGCACGCTTTTCAGCAGCAAATTTTCGTTCTCTGTTTAGATTTTAATATAATTATACGAAAATCTAAAAAAAATATAATTTCAAAATCGAAAGTCCAAAGTCCAAAGTCCAAAGTCCATAGTCCAAAGTCCAAAGTCCAGTCCAAAGTCCAGTCCAGTGTTTACAATATGCCGACTTGGGAGCAACTTGGGAGTGGCTAATTTTGAATATTTACTTAATTAATGCATCTATAAATAGCTTTGATGCTTTAGAGGCGGTAGTTCATTTACACCCAGTTTTGCGGCAGGCAGTATTTCCTAAGTACCGCCTACCATGCAGGCTATTTTGCAGGTCACGTGGGTTATCTACTAAATTGTGCATCCGATGATGCTCAGAATGCGTGTATATATAACCGTTTTTCTACGAAATCGGAAAACAGAATTTCATTTTCATTTTTAGTGCAAAGTTGACGAAGTCAAGTTTGTACTATTGTGATGCGGTGCAAAGCATTACGTCATTACGTGACTGAACAATGGTCGATCGATCGATGTATAGTGTACACAATTCAATCCGGGGGGAGCGCTTGCAAATTATTTCCGTAGCTTTGCAACGTTCGGCCAGCATATATATCAACAAATTTTCAAATAGGATTTTATATTTTTATTTACAACGACAGATGTTTTTCTGATTTACATTATCTAGCACTTAGAGAAACAATCATAAAATACATATCAATTTTAAGATATCAATGGCTAATATGTGTAGGTACTTTCTCGCCCTCCGTGCAACAAAATCAAATGAAACAACACACGTGCTCTACACTGCGCCAATTTTAATATGGCGGTGTCAGAGGAGTCGCAGTACGATGTCGTGTATAGAACGGGTCGATCAAAGTCAAAGATGCAGTCAATTTTAACCTTGTTTTTGTGCTTATATTATCTAACAAAGAAACAGAGTGATACAGAATATAAAAAAGCGGCTGTGCATGGTCATGATCGTTTTGACATAAATTAGCTTGCACATTTTATTAAAAATAACTCAATACCGTATACTATACCTATAATGGGTCGTATAAGTATAAACAACTCCCATGTTATATTGCGATATTGTTGTAACTGTAAAATGGAAATTTTGCTCCGGAGCACAGGCATGCAAAGAGACGATGGTTCTTTAAATGTTTATATTAAATAACGATGACAGCTAATGTCATCGATCACAGGCTCTGACAACGGGCAAATCGTACTGCATTTATATTTGTATAAATGCAGTAAGACCAGCCTAGTGCCAGTCGTTCCAAAGCAAGCGCGAGGAAAAACGTGGATGTAGTACGAGACTGGGACCTAGGTGTGACGTCACCGCTAAAGGTGCTTCAGAACCATAGATATAGCAGATCTAGATTGCTAACGCATACCTAGCGCAGGCGGGGCCTACATGATAAATCCAAGATGGCGGTACAACAGGGCAAAAATACTATAGATTCTATTACGAAAATCAGAATTTTTGCATTTTTTGCCGTCGCATTGTTTCGAAACTTATTCGGTCAAATTTTATAGTAAAGAGAAACTTACCGCGAAGATTTTGAGCATATATATGATTGAATTGGATGAAAAATCGCAAAATTATCCAGCGATAAAGTTCGTGTGAAATGGTCAGTTGGTTAGTTGGAGCGTTTTACTGTCAGAAATACTGTGCTATGTTAACATCTAGCCTTATGAATGGTGTTTTATATTTGCATCTCTCATCATCATCTGCTCTGTCCTCACAATTATGAAAAATGAACTGTTATGTACCCCCCCCCTCCTTGCTTGTTAGAGAAGTAAACTGATGAGAGCACTGGATGAGGGTCTATCATCTATGGTCTGTTATAATTTGCTTTTTATGCAAATAGTGAGCAACAATTAAAGCAAAACTGTACAAGTTACATATATTGTACTATATCAGTACTATACACGAACTTTTATCGCTGGATAATTTTTCGAGTTTTCATCCAATTCAATCATATATATGCTCAAAATCTTCGCGGTAAGTTTCTCTTTACTATAAAATTTGATCGAATAAGTTTCAAAACAATGCGACGGCAAAAAATGCAAAAATCCTGATTTTCGTAATAGAATTTATAGTCTTTTTGCCCTGTTGTACCGCCATCTTGGATTTATCATGTAGGCCCCACCTGCGCTAGGTATGCGTTAGCAATCTAGATCTCCTATATCTTTGTTCAGAACGCCTAGCAGATTTCAGTATTTTTAATATGGCGGAAAATTTATATATTTGAATTTGAATTTGAATTTATTTCCAAGTATGCTTATAGTACATTACATTTCCCGTGTTATATTATTTATTTATGTTTACATATTTGGAAGAAGGACTATAATAAACCCAAAAGGCTTTTGCGAGTAGTCCTCCTTGAGATAATACTTAGCTATAATGACTATAATGTTAATATATGTCTATTTCTAATATCTATCAGGTAAACATTGCGGTTCATCAGTTCAATTGGAGTACATATAGTAAATTATATGCGGAACAATTAGTAAATACATTCTATATAATCGTACTCTAAAAGTTGTTTTTTATTCCCTAGTGTACACCAATCATTGTTTCTAATTTTATTCTATATAACATGACGTTATAGTTTGTCTTGAGAAAACAAATATATTTTCATTTCCGTTTTGAATTTTTTTTTGTACATGAATCTTTTATTTTTTTTGGTATTCCATTCCATATTTCTGTTCCCGTATATTTTATTGAAAATTTTCCATAATTTGTTCTATTGCCTTTTTTATGGATCAAATTTGTACTTCTTGTATTATGCTTATGAATTTCGCTATTCAAAGTGAAATAGTTGTCAAAAAAGGTAGGTAAATTTCCTTTTGCGTAATCGTACATAAAAAGGCTAATGCGTATATATACAAATAACCTTGTAAATACGACAATGTTCGTTAATCATGTTCGATGTCTACATAACCAAATTCAAGCTGTATTAAAAATGTGCTCAATTAAAAAATATATATATACAAATTTACGATAATGAGTCTGAGCAATGGTCGTCGTATAATCGTTGGTGATATTTATGTACTCGCAAGTTGTGATCAACACTATAAACCATACTGGTATGCATAACTACGCGGTTCTACTTGGCGGGTTTCAGTAGCTGAGGAGATTGGAAATATTTGCCTGACATGACTGCGTTGTCAAAACATTTTTAGTCGTAGACTCGGCATAATTTTAAAGCTTATAGATAGCATTTAATATGGCTTTATATTTTAGTAAACACGACTCAATGGGCTAAATGCCCGTTATTCCATTCTGACCGTATGGTAGCGAAACGTAGCCTATTTCATTGTTCCGACAGCATTAGAGCAAAACTAATGACTTAATTATAAACGCAAAGGAAATTTCCATAACATTTTCTTTACAAATGCGATATGCTTGGTAACCAGGCCAGGGACCACTTTTTTGAAATCAGGGACTATTTTACCGAAATCTGCTAGGCTCTCTCGCTGAAGCGTTCCGCACAAGCACACCCAGGCATAATTGCATAAAAGTTTTAAGACTTATTTAAATATATCAAAGCAGCGAATAGAGAGAGAGCCTGGGAATAGGCTGCAGTAAGACTAATTTATCACATAAGACGTACTTAGTTATTGTTATTTTGTCTATTAAGCCGTTCAACCCAAGCACATGCGTAAGCATCTGATCCCCCAAAAAACGAAAACTATTGAAATCACCAATAACAATTTAATTGTTAGAATTTGAATGCCTTAGCACTCTGTTGGTTCACACGAGTGCATAAATGATTGACATAAATAAATTTCATGCATAAAGAAACTATTTAAGAAGCTGCTTTAAATTCCCAAGAGCAGAAAATCGCGCACTTTACAAGATGTTCGTAACTAAATTTTAATACATGCACCTTGTCAATATTTTACGCATCATTACCTTCAGCTTTTTGGTAGGGCATTCAATTTTAACATTAAGTGATTTCAATAGTTTTCGGGGTTTTTTGGGACACCCTGTATACTGTCAATATGTCAATGTGGTAAACAATGTAGTTCAATGTTATAGTTCTATAAATAGCGCTGCAAAGCTTATACATTTCAATCACGCAACACAAAATTAATATTTTATTCATTGCGATTTGTTCTAAATTGGGCGATTGGTTTTAAATGAAAGAAATTGAAGGCTCATGCACTATACTTTCTCCTCCCCCCTCCCCGTCGCCAAAAAAATTTCGGTCAGTGTACCATTTTAAGGGTCCAAATTTTTTTCCGGACAAACCAAATTTTGGCAAACCCATAATTCCAAATGGTTTATAGGTCCTTTATCTCAATTTTTCATACCAAGTTTCGGCACTTAGCCCCAAAAAATTACATTAACAGCTATTAGTTCTGCAAAATGTAAAGGGGGGGGGGGGGAATAATTTCGATTTTAATTCCGAGTGGGGGGAGCACTAGGGGCCACTGCCCACCGAGTTGGGGGGCATTGCCCCCCCCCCAGCTACGGGCCTGGATCGATATAATCACGTTTATTCAATATGTACTAGTTTAAAACATGAGCAGCCGAAGGCGAGAGTTTGTATATCAGATAAAGGTCGGATGCGAATCATCTTTTAAATTCATTGGCGAAAAAATTTTAAAAATAAACATTGTCTAAGCCGAGAAAATCAAAGCTATCCGATTTACAAACATTGATTAAACATTCATTTCTTTTGTATTTTCCTGATGAATTATTAAAGTCTGCATACTGAAGTAATCAATTAAAAATTCTGTGGTCTATACAGACCATAATAATACAGACCATGCACGATAAAGGGTCGATGTGGGCCAGGCATTGCTTTATTGACCCCTTATAGTGTACACACCTTTACTGCTTTCTGGTCAGTTGTCATATCAACTTTGCACTATCCTTGGGCTCTCTGAGTTTGTTTTCAATTTCCGCTAAATTGGAAAACGATATTCGGACTTCTTCTTTCGTTTTCCGTTTCGTTTCCGTTTCTATTTTTATTTTCCGATTATACATTTATACTCACGCATTCGAAAAACGGAATTCGATGTTTTGGATTTCCGAATGAAATTTCGAATTCCATTTTCATATATTCGTGTTCTGCCCGACGGATTTCTTTTGAAATCGATTGTTTTTACGGTATGTGAACGTGAATATATGAATATACATCCCCCCCGCACTTATTGCGTCTAGCTACTGCCCTGTCTGTTGTACACGCATTGTTCAGGCCCCATATTCAAATACAATTCCGCCACTTTTTCGCACATATAGTGAATTATCGTATCAGCTTTCTAATTGGCTAATACGAGTAGTGTTTACGCACTTTTCACGCTCATATCATTGCTAGCTCGAGAGGAGAGCCTGCTGTTTGATTTCTGTTGCATGAGCATGCTCTGTTTCCAATCTGTCAAAACATGTAAAAAAGAATCGCTTGTATTTTTAAAATGAATACTTTATAATTTCAACCAGTTGCATACAGTAATAGCTACACGTGCATGCACTGCACGTGCTGTACAATTTCAGCAACATTTTCAAATCTATCAATGTATATAGTCTTTGTGAATGCCAATCGGGCATGTTGTAAAACACGAATTGGACTGGCTGGACTGGATTCTCAAGCTAGGTCATTAATTATTGGGCCGGTAAATAGATGATTCCAGCTGTAGACAAAATTTTGATCTACAATCAATGTCAAAAGTCTTGGGACAGATGCCGCAAAACCTTTGAATTTTAACAAAGGACAATCCAACCCCCCCCCCCCGCCCCTGTTCAATGTTGTTTCCGGTATTGTGTGTAAAAAAACTGCAATGATCCACTTACAAGCTAAACCTACATATGTACCAACAACTTCTGAAAGTGATTGTCTGGGCCCCATATGCCATAACATCATTGTACATCTCATAAGTACAGGGGGATAGAATGGCCAGCGAACGAAGTATTCCAGCTCCATTTCGTGCACACAAGATCTAATATGACATTACAGAACAATTAAGTTTTATTAACATTCTCAAAGTTAATAATTGACAGAATATGAATATAATTTATGTCATATAGCATTCTTAATCACCAAGGTTTATACCTTGTTTGTTTCTAAAAAATTCTGCAGAGCACAAGCAGGTTTATTTGAGAGGTTATAGTCCGTCAACAAAGATAGGTATCGCAAATGTTTTACGCTAGATATATCACATAAACGTTTAATCTATAGCATAGTAATATAACATCCGGTTACTTTCGCATGCGTGTAAGGACTGAGTCAACTTCAAATTCGGGTGCTCCGAAGGTAAAGAACGTTTGATTTATAATCACCAATAGACAATGTGACATTTCACATCTTTCTAGGGGAGAATTTGCAGATATAATTGTCGACGGATGGTGTAATATAGTACTCCTTCGATGCATAAACACATGTCTAGCTTCTATCTTTACAAGTGCGCATGCTCCTAAAGCATGATGTAACTATTACGTCATTACATCCCTTTAAACCTTTAGTTTTTGCATTCACTATAACTGTTTGTGATTAACTAATATCAACCTGAAAGTTCCTATAATGTCTTATTTTAAAGTTCATTTATGATGACTTCTTAGACAATTAAAGTTCATTATAAATGTTTTACTTATCTGACTGTTTATAGCCAAAGTAGGCTGGTGGTTTTGTTTTCCTTTTCGGGCGTTCATTGGTGTTCTGCTTGCTCGGCTGTTCTTCTTTATCTGCTGGGTTATCTGTTCCACCTTTCTTTTCTTTAAACTTTTTAAAATGTGATGAGTTCCGAGTGGCTTGGCGATTGTCATTTGACGCTGTAATCATCGATCCTTTCTTCTTAACAATTTGGTATTTCTGATGTTCATAAGGGGTCTGCAACTTACCTTTCTTTGAGTTTCTCAGCAGGACTGCATCACCGACTTTGAATTCAGAGGATTTGGCTTGGTTTCGTTTGTCAAAGTGGACCTTGTTCTTTTGTCTTGACTTACATGATGCATCAAGTGCTTGTTGATGGTTTGGGTCAGCTGGTGCTACAGTTTGTGACTGGGGTAACTTGACATTTATGGCACGATTGAATAGCAAGGTTGCAGGAGCCTGGTGGGTTATACTGTGGGGCGTAGCTCGGTAGTTTCTGAGGAAGGTAAACAAGTTTTGTTTCCAAGACCTGCCTTCAACTTTGGCAGTTCTAGCTGTTTTCTATAACGTTCTCATAAATCGTTCGGCTTCTCCGTTTGCCTGAGGCCAATAGGGCGTTATACGCTGATGTTGGAAACCAAGATAATTAGCAAACTGTTTGAATTCTGTACTATTAAATGGGGCGCCATTGTCCGATTTAACTGTTCTGGGAATTCCGTGAGGAGCAAAGATTTTGTCAAGACAGGGAATAACAGTTGTATGGGCTACTGTTCTAATAATATCTACTTCGGGATATCGTGAGTAGTCATCAATCAATACAAGTAAGTACTCACCACTGGAAAACGGGCCGCAAAAATCAATTGATACACTTTCCCATGGATTCTTGCTAGCTTCAGGCATACGTAATGGTTCAATGTTGCTTGTGTTTGTTGTGACTTGGCAAGCTAAGCAGCAGCTAACCTTTTCTTCCACTTGTTTATCAATGGTCGGAAACCAGACCTTCTCACATAAGAGTTGTTTTGTCCGTGATATACCTTGATGGCCTTCGTGTGCGAGGTCTATCACATGGTTTTGAAGTGTACTTGGTATGACTATACGGGTACCACGTAGGAGGAGACTTTGATCACTGTTAACTGACAGTTCGTTTTGGATGTGAAAAAAACATTCTACCGACTTGCGATCAACACGAGGTTGGAGTTTCGCATTATGCCACTGTTTGGTTTGAACTGCTTGAATGACAGCTTGAAGTGTGGTATCGGCTTTTGTGGCTTCTTTGATTTCTTCCAGCGTAAGGGCCTTGGGAACAGCATGCATTGAAACAAAATTAACATATTCTTCAGCGCATCTCTCCTCATGGCTGGTAGGTGATGATGGCAACGGATGGCGGGACTTAAGTCGGCTGGATTGTCAGAACCGGGTTGATACTGAACATTGAAACGATATGGTTGTACCTTTAATAACCATCGTTCAATACGAACAGGTGGTTTGTTTTGTGGGTCGTTGAAAAGACGTTCCAGTGGCTTGTGATCAGTAATAACAGAGAATTGGGTACCATATAAATATAGATGAAATTTATGATATGATAAGCATAGATAAGCATAGATAATCAGAGCAAATTGAACGCACTTTCTATTATTTAATATTGAATGAAAAAAGCGAAATGGAAGAGGCAATCACTTGCAAGGTTTTTGGTAGGGATCGAACTACTGGGAAAGGCACTTATAGCTGCCCAACAACTTCTGAAAGTTATTGTAGGCAAGAAGAACAAAATTCATCACCACATCTACAACACGAGCATGCTAAAATTAGTAAAATTGCACAGTATATATATATATATATATATATATATATATATATATATATATATATATATATATATATATATATATATATTGTGAATAGGGAATACAAGCTTGAGCAACAGTCTTTACTACACATATATCCAAGTTTACGACATGTACTAGTCTTATAGTATATAGTATAGTATAGTATAGTATAGTATAGTATAGTATAGTATAGTATAGTATAGTATAGTATATGACGGAACACTGCACAAACACGACAATATCGCCTTACAAAATAGTATGATTAGCCTTTAAGTACAAAGGACACATATATTTATATGTGTCCTTTGCACTTAAAAGTTCATCAACTACAGACCTGGTAGGAACCAGGTATGTAGTTAACATCGCATTGCTGTCTGAAACCCTATAGTCTAGTGGTAAAACAACCGAACCGGCAATCGGGAGACACGGGTTCGATTCCCGTTGGGAGTTCAGATATTTCTGAATACAAGCTTGAGCAACAATCTTTACTTCACATATATCCAAGCTTACAACATGAACTAGTCTTAGTATATGAGCACACATGAAACATTTATCATTTATAGACCTGGAGCGAGGGGGATTCGGCGAAATATTACCCGAAGTGATGATATTTCCCGAGGGGCTTTGCCCCGAGGGAAATATCATCACTGAGGGTAATATTTCGCCGAATTCCCCGAGCGGAGGGTCTATATAAATGATATATCATACCGAAAATTAAAAGCCTCCAAGTTGAGAAATAAAAACTTGACACATACTTTCGTGAATACGATGTTTTATTTTCGGATTAACGCAAATATCGTCGCTTTTCTTTCGAATCACATATCGTTTGGAATATTAATGACAACATTTTTCAAAATTTACTTCAAAATTTTGAAAAAGCCCCAGGTTTTACATCATTTACCCAGATTATTCATCACTCATCAATACTATTTATATTTTGTCGGCCATGTTGTTGTCATGCGTGTTGTCTCGCGTGTTCTACGCGAATAATGTTCCACTCCACTCCATGTTCCCCGGGGAACATGGGGTGGAACATTGTCGAAAAGAACGCAGGCTCGCTAATTGATGACGTAAGGCGTGATATCGCGATTAATTTCATGCTCACGTGGCACAAACTAAGCTTCCTGATTGGACAATTTGAATTTGAGGTATAATATATATATATATATATATATATATATATATATATATATATATATATATATATATATATATATATATATATATATATATATATATATATGTACTATTTAAAACACGAATAGGAGTGTTTTATCAGATATATAACGCGAGGCGCAGCCGAGCGTTATATATCTGATAAAACACTCCTACTCGTACTCACTAATACTAATTAGGATGAAGCATAGTATAATCATGCTAATTAAGATGAACAATTATATAATGCCACATGTGTTTTATCAGATATAAAGTCACTCCACGTGACATATTATGGCTGACATGATTTGCCACAAGGTTTATGAATTATTAATGAGTATTTTAAATATATATATATATATATATATATATATATATATATATATATATATATATATATATATATATATATATATATATATATATATATATATTAAGATGAACATGTTGAATGTGTATTATATAATTTCCATACCCAACGCAAGCAGAAAGATGTTGTCTGCCGCGGCTGGGTCTTGAACCCGCGACCTTCGAATTACTAGATCGACGCTCTACCAACTGAGCTACACGGTCAGACGGATTTAAGACTGGAAATTATAAAATATATACTGAATGTCATAAACATACTCGTTTATATTAATTCAGCATCGAACAATACTAGTTCTGCAAGTGTTATATTAGTTGTGTAATTGTACACTCTGTAATATGTTAAGATGAAAATGTTCTAGAGTTGTATTATAACGAGTATGTTTATGACATTCAGTATATATTTCATCATTTCCAGTCTTAAATCCGTCTGACCGTGTAGCTCAGTTGGTAGAGCGTCGATCTAGTAATTCGAAGGTCGCGGGTTCAAGACCCAGCCGCGGCAGACAACATCTTTCTGCTTGCGCTGGGTATAGAACACACTCTAGAACATTTTCGTATGTATACATTACTTAATATAATCTGTATATATATATGTAATCTATACGTAATTTGATACTTGAACATTCCGTTTACGTCAAACATGTATATAGTATATATAACCTTGGCAACAACATAGCGCGACATTTAAATTCACCTGATGAGTGTGGCAATTGGCATTGCTTGTCACACAATGTAGTTGTTTCATCCAAGAGGAATCATCAGGTGACTGTAAAACACAAAAACTTTTTTGACATATTTATTAGTATATATTATACCGGTAGTAGTAAAGTTTAGTAGTAAAGGCTGCAGCTCAAATACATGAAGGTTTTTAAAACACACCTTTGTCTCAAAAACTAGCAGGATCTAGACTAGTTATATATAGACATAATTTGTATTATTGAAAGAAATATAATCATACAATTTACTTACTCATGCGAAATAACAGATTAAGTGCATGCACTCATCTAATCACATTATAGTATTCACAAATATAGCTATCTCATAGATAGATAGATAGATAGATAGATAGATAGATAGATAGATAGATAGATAGATAGATAGATAGATAGATAGATAGATAGATAGATAGATAGATAGAGACTTTATTTAAAGAGGGTGACACTTAATAGTACGAAGTACCAATGAACTTGTGGCCCTCATAAAATTTACAAAAAATTAGGGAGTATATCTATTGTCTATTTACAACATTTATATATATATATATATATATATATATATATATATATATATATATATATATATATATATATATATATATATATATATATATATATATATATATATAAGGGGCAAGCATCGAATAGATACTACACCGAACAAGTACCTCAAGTTATCGCCATCAAAGAACGATGGACTGAACATGTTAGAATATTGTATTATTGTTGCAATTGTTAGCTTTTTCGTTTCGGAGGGCCTAGAAACTTTACCAGACAACTACAAACAAATGACGGCAATGTTTAACAATATTGTAAAAACGATTCTCGAAGAGGAGAATCTGATGTTTCTGCCAGTCGCAATACATTCTGAAAAGGTCATCGCACGAACGGTTAGAAAGATTCAGCGAAAAAAGAAGGACGTGTAATACTAACCAGAACGAATACAGCATATATACACAGAATATTAAATATAGCATGTTTAAATTCTGAACGCAGATTGGCTAAGAGCCGTGTTGATATAACTCAATGTCAAAACGGAAAATTTCAGTTTCTTTATATTTCTTCGTGCTATATTATAAAAATATAATTAACTTTTTTTCCGTATTGATATACAGTTACATGAACAGATGTGGAAATTGGAAAAACTCGAAAGTAATATATATGAGGCCTATATGAACAACGAGAGCATTATAAACTCGAAAGTAATATATATGAACAACGAGAGCTTATACATTGTTTTCTCGTGTTTGGATATCCCGGTGAGACACGAGCTCGAGTTATTTATATGGCTTCTCAAATGAATCGAGACGTAACAGAATGTTTTCGTAAGCATAACGTAATTAGGAATTCTATTCAAGTAATTTTGCATGCATTGATTATGCAATAGACCCTTTTCATAAATGGCTGCCGATTAAGAATTCTTTTCTGTGCATATAAATTGGCCCAACAAGCCTCGTTCCTGGGTAGAAATTCCTTTGAAATCTTAACATGAGTACGAGGCTAGTTGGGCAAATTTATATGCACACAAAAGAAATTTTAATCGGCAGCCATTTATGAAAAGGGTCTATACACTGGTGACTTTCATCAAGTATCCAAATGGCATCTTGTGATCAAATAGGTGATTATCATTGGCTGAATTGCTCAGAAATTTGTAAAATATGAACGCTGATTGCGTAAGAGCCGTGTTGACAGGGGCGTAGAAACTGGCGGGCAAAGGGGGGTGGCTAGGCCCCCAAGTTTTGCCAAGTGCCCTTTTTCCGGGAGCAAAGTGCCCTTTTCTTGCGTGAAAAATGTCATTAAGAGTGCATTTTTTGCATTTTTGAAAACTTGAATCTATGTTATTTCCGGAAATTTTTTTCACTTCCGGGAAAAATGTCATATATCCGGAAAATTTTTTGGTGTATCCGGAAATTTTTTTCATATTTAGGCGCCCTTTTTTATTCGAAAAGTGCCCCTCAAAGCCTCCCCCCCCCAACTTTTAGAATCTTCCTACGCCCCTGCGTGTTGATATAACCAAATGTCAACACGGAACATGTCAACTTCTTTTTTTAAATATAAAAAAATATATAAAAACATTTTTCCGTATTCATATAGAGGGTTAAAAAACTGAACAGATTTGAAATTGCTCTCAATTTCGCAAAACGCCTATTGGTATCCAGTTTTTATGTACTATTTGAAGCACAAAAACGACTCATCTTATACGAGTTCATTGGCGTAGTAATTTTTAAAATAAACTTTGTCAAAACCG